GATGCTGTCCACAATTCTGCATGCATTATCGATATACATATGCTAGCTCAGGCAATTCACTTGTCTCCTGAAGGGTTTTCAGATGACGTTAGAGGTCTTCTGTTTAATACAACTGCATGCCTTTCATTTTTGGTCCTAGCTGTTCAGATGTGGTTGATATGGTGTTGTGGCCTTCTGGGTCAGGATGCCATTCTTTCCCAAGTATGTTTACTACTCTGCACAACTTGCATGTGGCACCTTTTTTATCTGAAAAGATGTTTGGAGGTCTTCCTGACTCATTGGAGGCCTTAGTTGAGTCTGCTCATCTGCATAATGCATAATTCATTATCCTCATTAGCTTCTCATTTATCCCAACCTCTTCTTACTGTTTCTGTGTCTTGCCCTCTCACATCCAACCCTTTGCCGGTCCCAGCATCTCATTCCTTATCCCTTTGTAGTTGGGTTGTTGCTCATAGGCATTTGAGAGGATTACAGCATTGGTGACTTGGCCATATGTGGACACCATTTACAATGGCTTCATGGATCCTACAGATTCTTTCAGAGGTTCTGGCCCTTCATTTCCATTTCCCTCCCTCATTGTCTCCTCATCCCGTTGTCTTCCTCCATCAAGGGATCCTGTTTCTCACTGGTGCTTATAGGATGCAGTTCGGGACTTACTTCAAAAAAGAGGCCATAGAACTTGTGGAATCTTCTCAAAACGATGGGAGATTGGCAACTGGTTATACGTTTATCTTCCCTGAATCATTTCCTGGATGTGTCAAAATTCACAATGGAGCCTTATTTAACCCTTTGGTGGGTTTGCATTCCTGGGTTGTGGATGACGAAGGTTGAGATGTCGAATGCCTATCTACACATTCCCATCTCCCTGGCCTTTCCACCATTCTGTTCATCAGGGGTGTGTTTATCAGTTTTGGGCTTTACCATTTGGCCTGGCCTTGGCTCATTATACCTTCTGCCGAGTAGCCAGGTTGTTTGCTCGACTGCTTCATGCCAGAGGCCTTTGTTTCCACCATTACATGGACAACTGGCTGCTTTTGGCTTCTTCTCAGGTCAAATCTGCTGTTCATACTTAGTTTCTTCCCCGAGAGGCTGAACAGAATGGGTTGGCTTGTCAAGGTGGAAAAGTCCTTTCTCACACCCACACAATTTTTGATTTATCTGGGTGTGTTTTTCAATTCCCTCGTCACTTGGGCCCAGTCTTCTCCCCCTTCGTTTAACCCTTTTAATATAGGTCATGGGTGAAAGGCCATGTCATCTTGTTTCTTGACTCGCATTCAAAATTTTATTGAACTGCTGTTTCATGAATTTATGTCAATAAGTTTGGTATCAAACTGTATATTATAATTCAAATTTTAGTACCATACATTATTCAATTTCTTAATTTAAAAGTAAATAATAAAAACACAGATAAACATTGATTTTTGTGTGTCATGTGGTATGTTGAATGCAGCACTGGTTCAAATTAGATGTTTGTGAAGTCAAAATACTAAATCTATAGTTTTGTATGAATTAGAAACTCAAATTACAAATATTGACAAGCTAGAATATAAAATAAGAATGTTTTATCTTTTCTTTGCTCATGTAATAAATCAAATACAGTGGCACCCTTCCCACCTCTTTCAATTTTTGGAAACACTCCCTATTATACACTTACTTCTATATATGACATGAATAACCAATTGGAACCCAGAATGTTCCCCTAGTGGCTTTCTCAGCCATTTTAATGGACTTGGATGCTA